TCACCTCTGTTGATCCCCAATTTCTCACCTGATGGCCCCCCTGCGACTGTGCCTGTCTTAGGTTGTTCCTCCCTTGAGGAATCTTACCCGTCTCTGGCTGGGGTAAACATATTTTAAAAGATTTTTGATACGTAGTTGAATTGTCCTCCCAAAATGTATAAATTAATAGTGCTAGGTTTTGTCAGTTCTTTTAACGATTGTATTATTAACTATCTACAGGAAAAAAAAATCTTGTAGCTTTAATCTGCCTTTTATTACTAGTGGGTTTAAATATCTTTCCATATATTTATTGTGTTGTATGTGAATGAGGCGGCGGCTTCTCATTTTTTTTATGTCAACTTTTCCTTCTTGTTTTATATTACTTCTTATTAAGTATACTGTCTCGTATTTACATTGAAAATATTTCCGTAAATGTGACTTTAGTTGTGGTTTTTCACATTTCAAAACTTTGTAAGTCTAATTTAATAGTTTTTCAATGAGATTTAAAAATTCCCTCTGAGATGAGAGGTAGTATAGTAGAATGAAAAAAGGCAGAGGACTTCCCAACAATTCAGTCCATAATCGTAGTACCTATGGCTGGGTCTCACACATGATGTGATAGGAAGAGCACTAGACTGGGAGTCAGAATCACTTTACCTCTCTGGGTCCCAATTTCCTCATCTGTAGAATGGGGAGGAGAATGAAACCTCTCTCCTAGGGCTGTAAAAAAGAACTGGCAAGAATGCACATAATGAGCTTCAAACTGGTCTTGCACATGGCAAATCCTGTCTCTTTTAGCCATTATTAGTAGGAGAGGGCTATATAGAATTTTTAAAACAGTATTTTCAATTCAGTATGTAGGAATAGGGTGGGCGTGAGGATCCTAGAAATTTAGCTATTTACCCCCACTCCAAGAACTGCATAGCTGGAGTCAGAGCTTAGGTTCCAATTCTGGTCGTGCCCATTTTTTGGTATGTGACCTTGGACAAGTCACCTTCATCCCTCCAAGGCTCAGTTTCTTCACCTAGAAAACATACAAAGTACATCACCTGCCTTCCCTACCATCCCGGCTGCTGGGCCAAGGATCCGCTTCATAAACGCTTACAAAGGGCGGCAAACCTGTCTGGTGGGGTAATGCCTACGGAGCATCGTCGGCGCCCGGCGGGACCTCGGGGCGGCCGCGACCCCCGCCCTCCGCGCTCGCATCCCGCCGCTGGAACAATAGCTCCCCTGGAGGCGGCGCAGCCGCGGGCGGGGGCGGAGCTGTCGGCGCGGGAGCTGGGGGTGTGCGCGGGGCGGGGTCGCAGCCACCCCTCCCACCGGCGGCTCTGTCACGCGCCCCTCACCGGGCGGGCCGGGGTCTTTGTGACGCGGTGGAGACGGCCGCGGACACAAAGGGAAGGCGCGGAGGCCAGTGAGGGGCTGGGCCTGCCCCCGCCCCGCGCCCCCAGCCCGCCGCGCGCGCGGCCGCCCGCGCCCGGCTTCGATCTCCCCCACGCGGCTCGCACCCCCGCGCGCGCCTGCAACCCTCGCTCGCGTCCGGACCTTCCGACTCCGTCCCGAGCGCGGCGGGCCGGGGCCTGGCGGGCGCTGCGGGTGGGGAGGGGATGCTGCGGGGCTGCTCCCGGGCGCAGCGGCGCGGCTGCTAGGAGGCACCGAGGCAGCGGTGGGGCTCCCGGCGCGGGGCTGGATGCCCCGGGCCTGCGGCTCCCGGCTCTTCCCGCCGTCCAGGGGCGCCAGTCATGGGCGCCGCGGCCGCTGAGGCGCCGCTCCGGCTGCCTGCCGCGCCCCCGCTCGCCTTCTGCTGCTACACGTCGGTGCTTCTGCTCTTCGCCTTCTCTCTGCCCGGGAGCCGCGCGTCCAACCAGCCCCCGGGTGGCGGCAGCGGCGGCGGCGGGGACTGTCCCGGCGGCAAAGGCAAGAGCATCAACTGCTCAGGTAGGACCGGCCGGAGCCCGCCCCGCGGCCCCTCCCTCCGCCGCCGCCCTCCTCTCCCCGCGGCCGGGCTGGCCGAGGCCCCTGCGAGCGGGTCCCGGGCGGCGGGGCTCGCGGGTGCGCGACGGCTGAGGGCAGGGCGCGAGCGCGCGCTGTCGGCTTGGGGCTGGCGTTGGGGCTGGGAAGTGGCGGTGCGTGCGTCCGTGTGTGTGGAGTGGCTGGGCGACAGCGCTCCGGCGCGCTGGGAGGCGCTGAGGCAGCGAGCCGGCGAGGCGGAGGAAGCTGGCCAGGGCTTCTGGTGTGATCGAGGGTGTGCACGCGGGGGCTCGTGTTTGTGTTGTGAAGGCTCAGGGAGGGATTGTAGTGTGTGTGTGTCTGACGGTGAGGGCCTGGGGGGCCCGAGGCCGAGCGCCAGGGGAGTGACCATGTGCTGGGAAGGTTTTTCTTTAGGGCTCTGGGATCTCGGCGGGGTGGTGTGGGTAAAGGGAACGGGTGGCCCCACGATGCGGACTGGCGATGCGTGTGTGTGTGTGTGTGTGTATGTCTATCTATGTATGTTGGGTTCAGAGGTGGGCGCTGGAAGTGACCTCGGGTCTGTGGATGTGGGCAGGGAAAAGTCCTGGGGCCCCAGAAGTGACCCTCTGTTTCTGTGTAGAGCATGGTGTTCAGGAATATGCCTGGGGTGTGTATGCATTGAGGAGGAAGGATGGGTGTCCTGGAGTGAACCCCGTTTGTGTCAATTCAGAGGGTGGGAGCTAGGGAATCATTTGTGTAGGGTTTGGGTAATAGAAAGAGGTAATTAGGTCTCAGGGAGTGCCTCTGTGTAGCTAGGTGTGACCCAGGGTTATTAAGATGGTATGGGAAGAGGTCATGATCCTGTGCGGTGTTTGCATGTTTTGCGGGAGGGCCTGAAGATTGGCAGCAGCGGGAGCAAGGGAGTGACCTCTCCCCTCTCTCCAAGGCCGCTCTCCTCCCAACAACCCCCCACCTCCAGCTGTTGGAAACAAAGAGCTTGCTGCTCTAATGGATGCGACTGGGGAGGAGGGTATCCGGGCAGTAAAGTTCCGTCTTCCTTTCAAAAGGGGTCCCAGAGGAGCCCTGGGGCAAGGAGAGGCATCCAGATCTCTTTGAGAGGTGGGTGGGTCCTGGAGCTGGCCTTGCAGGTGTTAGTGGACATAAGCCACAGCCTTGCTGAGTTGCCCCTTTTTCAATTGTCAGTTCTCCACTTGACTTCTTTAAACCTGGGGTGGGAGAGGAGGCTTGGGGTGAGGTTGGGGAGGGAGAAGGGAAGGGGAAGATAGACATCAAGCCACAGGGGATCCACTGGCCAGCCTGCCAGACAACCTTTGTACCTTTGGGCTATTGAAGGGGCATTGTTTCTGGGGGAGTGAGAAAGGAGCAAGAGGGCCTCAGCACAGATGTTTATGCCACCCTAAATGAAGAAAACCCGGCCTTCTGTTTGGGTTTGAAAGTTTAGAATCTTTAGTTATTTCCACAATGCTATCTATGATGGGGTAGGGGGAGTTTGAGCACAATAAACAAATAGCATGTCCATTAAAAACTTTTCCATCCATGTAGTAAGTTTTACTTAATTTTTCTAAAGTTAAATGGGATATGGGATAATGCTTTACTAAATAATCACACATTGGTGGTTAAGAATAACTAGGACTTTTATGTAGGAGTGCCTTTTTAAAAAAAAAATATTGGCTATCAAACTTGTAAGTGATCATAATATGTCAAAATATTTTACAGATTAATATGCTGTGGTTGTTTACTCTTGCTAAGCTAAGTTGTCCTTGACAAAATACAGTGTGTGCTGATGAGGGTGTTCTGTGTGTGTGGTAACTCTGTAGTACATGGTACAAGTTTGAAAAAAGGACATAGTGTGCTGGAAACACATGTGGTGTGGAAAAAAGGAACTGGAGTTCCTTTTTTTGTGTAGGGTTTGGGTAATAGAAAGAGGTAATTAAATAGAAAGAGAAAGTGGATTTGGGGATCATGGCCTTGGCTAAAGAGCTGTTATTTGTAGCAAGTTAGTTAATTTTTCTTAGTTTCCTTTTCTCCTGGAAGAGGGACTTAGATTTAATAATAACTGAGCCTTCTTTCAAGGATATATTGTTGTATTGATATAAATGTTAATGAATTAGACTCATCAAAGAAAATGTTTTTCCAATGCTGAGATAGACTTGAATAACTTTGGGTCTGAAGTAGAGTTTTAACTAAATGATATTTGTAGATTCTTACAACTTTTTCTAGGATGAAGATCTGAGAATGTTTCATATGGAGAAAATATTTTTAAAAATTGATTAATTAGAGAATTATAGGAATCCATTCTGGACATACGTATAAGTGCATCTTGAGATTGTATGTAGATTTTTTTTTTGGAGCTTTTATTATCCAGATATTTCCCACATAAACTGAAGCTTATTCCCTCATATAATTGAGTTTTAAAATCTAAATGCTGGCCTTGACTCCTTGTTGATTTTTATTTTTTGTTTTAGATCATTTTCAGCCTACTCTGACCTTTCAGGAGCCTGATTCTGTAAGGCTGTGTGTGTGTTGGGTCACTTACAACTTTGTGGCTCTTGCAAATATGAGGCACATTTATGGCTTTATTAAATTAATTGAAGTTGTCTAGATTGTGGAAGAGACTTGAAGAAACTTCCTTCTAAATTGGTTGATGTTGATACGTTAATCAACCAGATGTTCAACCAGCTATGCATCCTCCTAGTAGAGTTTAGAAGGTTTTCAATCTTCTGCTGTTCAACATTTTCCCATTTTGTTCACCAGCCTATCATTAAAAGATTCTGTCAGATCATCTTGTTAGAATCAATTATGTCTATGTCTGTATCAGCCTCCCTTTTTCCATTATAGTAATCCTATAAAAAGCAAATGTTGTGTATCTTGACTTAATAGAGAGTCCATGATGGCTCTTATTGTGTTGAAAAACTTAATCCATTCCCGAATTTTTCATGGAATACATGGCAAGTTTACCCATAGGTGTTTTTCTGGATTTGCATTTCTCCTTTTTTGAAAATTGAGAATGCATTCTAACATTTCTGCTCTTTTGGCACATTGTCAAGGTAGCTTAGATAATCTGCAGTCAGATTGAACGTTTTTTCAGTATCATGGAGTGAGATACGTTTGGATCAGAAAGCAGATTCTTTTGAACTAGCTCTGTAGTCCGTTCTGTCCACTCTTCATGTCGCTTAGATGTTAGCTTCCTTTCATCACAGTTCCTCCCTTCACACTTTGAGTATCATGTTCCATGATGCAGGTTACCAGGGCCAAGGAGAAGCCGAATGGGTCTGCATTTGTTCCTGTCATCTCAGTGTCACATCTTCCCTGAGCAGTGGGCCCTTTGTTTATCTGTTCTTGTTTTAAACAAGACTTTCATTGTCCTCTTGCTTCAGCTCTCCAGTCATTCTGGATTTTATACGTAATGCTTTGAGTTTATAATTTTTGTATTTGTACTTTTTCTTTTAAAATCCAACTTATTCGAAAGTTCCCTGTTCATCCAAAGAGAAAATATTTTAAAAATATATGATTTATGTGAGGAAAGATGAATGTTGAACCCAAGAGACCAGGTGACCTTAGACGAGACATTGTTTTTTTTTTCATTTGTAGCCTGAAGATAGTGTTGGTGGTTCTTTTTGGCTCTAGGGACAAATGAGGCTAAATATGTGAGATATTTCTATCTTGGGGAATGTGGTTAAGAGGTAGTAAAATATATTGAGAAACCAGTAAGTGGCATTACTAAGATGGAGAATTTGAACTAGGTTTTAAAAATGTCACGAAGTGAGAAATGGGTACTCTGGATTGTGATGTGGTGGGTTGGTATGAATGGATGATGTAAACTTGATTAAGTGCCTCGTTAGTTGCACTTCAGGATTTTGAGGAATAAAATGTGAGTTTTTCATAATTTGTGTGGACTCTTGATCAGAGCACTTCTAGATCACTGGTGTGTAATATGTGGGTATTTTGTGAACTTTGACTGCATACCTGTTTAGTGTAATCTAATATACTAGATCATAAGGGAGATATGAGAGGCATTCTTGCCTTCACAGCTTATATTTTAACAGAGGTGGTTAGTTAGCCTCTTATAAATATATACAAGGATATTTCTATTTAATACATCTGGGCTCCCCCCCTCCCTTAATAAGTGTTTATTGAACACTGACAGCACTGGATTTTTTTAAATGTGTACAGTTAAATGGTTTTTAGTATATTCACAAATTTGCATAACCATCACCAGTGTCTAATACCAAAACATTTTCATCATTCCAAAAAGAAACCCCATATCTATTAATAGTCACTGCATGTTCTTCTTTACCCCCAATGCTGGGCAACTACTAATTTATTTTCTGTCTCTATAGATTTGCCTGTTTAGGACATTGCATATAAGTAGTCATAAGACATGGCCTTTTGTTATTGGCTTCTTCACTTAGCATAATATTTTCAGGTTCATCTACATTATAGCTTGTATCAGAACCTCTTAATGGGTTAGTAATATTCCACTGAATGGTTACACACCACATTTTGTTTATCCATTCATCAGTTGATGGACTTTTGGGTTGTTTCCACTTTTCAGCATTTATGAGTAGTGCTGCTGTGAACATTCATGTATACATTTTTGTGTGGACATATGTTTTCAATTCCTTTGGGTATATATCTAGGAGTAGAATTCCTGGGTCACATGGTAACTCTATGTTTAACATTTTGGGGAACTGCTAAACTCCTTTTCAAAGCAGCTGCACTATGTTACCTTTTCATCAGCAGTGTATGAGGGTTCCAATTTCTCCATATTCTTTCCAGCCCTTGTAACTGTCTTTTTGATTATAGTCATCCAGTGGATGTGGAGTTCTGTACACCAGGGTGGTTTTGATTTGCATTTCCCTAATGACTAGTGATGTTGAGCACATTTCCATGTACTTTTTGGACATTTTTTTATCTTGTTTGGACAAATGTCTGTTCAAATCCTTTGCTAGGCTTTATTTTAACAT